TTTTTGTTGTTGTACTTTAGATGAAGGTTTACAGAACAAAATAGTTTCTCATTAAACAGTAAGACACATATTGCCCTATGACAATGGTTAACAACCCCACGATATGTCAACACTGTCCTTACTCAACCTTGGGTTCCCTATCACCAGCTTTCTTGTCCCCTTCTGCCTTCTAGTCCTTGTCCCTGGACTGCTGTGCCTCATTAGTCCAGTTTTGTTTTATGGGGCTGTCCAATCCCTGGCTGAATGGTGAACCTCAGGAGTGACTTCACCACTGAGCTAAAACGGTGTCCGGGGGCCATACTCTCGGGGTTTCTCCAGTCTCTGTCAGGCCAGTAAATCTGGTCTTTTTTTTGTGAATTAGAATTTTGGTCTACATCCCTCCCCAGCTCTGTCCAGAACCCTCTGTTGTGATCCTGGTCAGAGCAGTCAGTGGGAGTAGCCAGGCACCATCTAGCTGTACTGGACTCAGTCTGGTGGAGGCATTGGTAGCTGTGGTCCATTAGTCCTTTGGACTAATCTTTTCCTTGTATCCTGTTCTCTTCATTCTCCCTTGCTCCCGAAAGGGTGAGACCAGTGGAGTATCTTAGATAGCTGCTCACAGGCTTTTAAGACCCCAGAAGCTACTCACCAAGGTAGAACGTAGAACATTGTCTTTATAAACTGTGTTATGCCAATTGAGCTAGATGTTCCCTGAGACCATGGTCCTCACGGCCCTCCGCCCAGCAATTCAGTCCCTCAGGGAGTTTGGATGTTTCTATGGAGCTTCCATGACCTTTTCTTGTACAAGTTGTGTGGCTTCCCCAGTACTGTGTACTGTCTTACCCTTCACCAAAGTTACCACTTATCTATTGTCTATTTAGTGATAATACCACTATTACTCCATTTTACAAATGAATGAATTGAGACTCAGAAAGGTTCAGTAATTTGCTTAAGGTCACATAGTAACGAATTAGTTCTCCCTCCTGAGAGGATTATTGTACAAATGTATATGAATCAAGTTAAGCGTTTTGATCTATTTGTGTATTCATTCAATAAACATTTATTGACTATCCACTCTTTGCTGGGCACCATGCTTGATGACAGGTACAGTAGACCCCCTCATCCTCTGGGGATAAGTTCCAAGACCCCCTGTGGATGCCTGAAAATGAGGATAGTATCAAACCTTATATGTACTATGTTTTGACCTACACATGCATACCTATGATAAAGTTTAATTTATAAATTAGGCACAGTAAGAGATTAACAATAATAACTAATAATAAAATTGAACAATTGTAACAATATACTGTAATGAAAGTTATATGAATGTGGTCCTTGTGTGGGACAGAGTGGGAAGGAGCAAGATTTCATCATGCTACTCATTTAACATTTTTGGACCTCGGTTGACCTCGAGTAGCTGAAACCACAGAAAGCAAAACCTTGGATAAGGGGGGGGGGCTACTGTATTCAAATACGTGGTCTCTGTCTTCAGGTACATGTAAAAGGCAGGTCAATCTGTGAGTTAAATGATTTGCTCCAATTCATCCTATTAGTAAATGGGTAGAGCAGGATTAAAATCCAGGTTTGTTTAAACAAATTGATATATGACAGCTCTAGGCATATAGAAGATTTGGTAGATTGGTTTTTAGAGTTAACTACCTTAGATATTGATTCCATGAGCAGATAAGTTTGGAGCTCCCCAAAAATCAGTGCCCAATGGTTATGATCCAGTTTGTAAACTGGAGATTATAAATACAAATTCTGACAGCTTTGTTTAAAATAATAATAATAGGACGTGTTGTACTGTAATCCAAGGGAGGTGAGGGCAAGACAGGGTTCAGGATTAGAGTCTCATTTTTCCTTGGGTGGGAGGACTAGTGGTAAAGAATTTAGATCCTCTAAGCAACTTGACTAGGGGGCATTGGTGGTTCAGTGGTAAACTTCTCGCCTCCCATGTGAAAGACCCGGCTTGATTGCGGCCAATGCACCTTATGCACAGCTACCACCCATCTGTCGTTGGAGGCTTGTGTGTTGCTATGCTGCTGAACAGATTTGAGTGGAGCTTCCAGACTAAAACAGACTAGAAATAAAGGCCTGGCAATCTACTTCTGAAAACCCCTCTTGATCACAACAGTCCGATCCACAACTGATCACGGAGATGGCCCAAGACTGGGCAGTGGTTCCTTCCGTTGTACATGGGGTCACCATGAGTTGGGCGCCATCAGTATGGTTAGGGTTACGGATAAGGTTAGGTTTAGGGTTAGAGTTAGGACTAGGTTTAGGTTTAGCGTTAGTGCTGACTAGACAGCAGCTAACAACAACAAGGAGCTTAAAGTTTTGACAGTGTCGGTTTAAACAAGGGAGCCCTGGTTGTGCAGTGGTTAAGCGCTGGGCTGCTAATCGAAAGGTCAGTGGTTTGAACCTAATCAGCTGCTCCACGGGAGAAAGATGTGGCAGTCTGCTTCCATAAAGATTACAGCCGTGGAACCCTGTGGGACAGTTTTACTCTGTCCTATAGGGTCACTATGAGTCTTAATCCACTCAACAGCAATGGGTTCAGTTTAAACAAAGAGCAAGCAATTGTAAAGAGAATCAGAAGTCCAGAAAAGGGAAAAATAGAAGTTGGTTGTATATAATGAAATATTATGAGAAAGACAATCATAACATAAAAATTGAGGATTTGCATCATAATGGTAGAAAAAAATTGAAGGCTGCATGTTGAGACGGAACCAAGATTTTACCTATTATGCAATACATTCCACATGGCTGGCTGGCCGAGTTCAACATACACTGTAGCTAATTGAAGGGAAATGCCTCCAGGGGAGACGGGGGTGGAGAGTTGAGCCACATGAGCACCTGACCCTCCAAATGCAAAAATGCCAACGGCTGTTAGAGCCAGTTGGCAACATATACATCGATGGAAGAATCAGGGATTATTCTTATAAACATTGGATGGGATCTCATGAAAGAAATGAGGAGGAAAAAGGAAAATCTTGAATTTCTTAAATTGTTTGCAAAGAAACTGGAGTCTGATGGAATTTTGTCCTCATGACTGAAATGTTTCTTTTGTGTTGGAAAAAGTATTGCTGTCATATCTCTTTGCTTTAGAAAATAATTTTTTTTCATAATAAAAATTCCGTGGCAGCTCCTTGTGTGGAGGACTTTAAAAATAGGAGCGATTTCATCCTTCTGGAATGGTCTGTGGCAGCACTTGCCCTAGGCAAGGTTGCCACATAGGCAAAAAATGCCCCCTCCCTTCTCCAGACTGGGCTGTCCCCCAGTGCCCTTCGCTTCCTCCCACCCTCCTTCGGCTGACCCCTTTTCCTGGGCTGCAGTTCCAGTGTGACTTCCCACATAAAATCAAACCCCTCTTCCCTCAGAAAGGCAACTGTCTCTCCAGGTGCTAGGGATGCAATAGGTTCCACCTTTTGGGGCCTATTTGCATTTAAAAACAGGACCCTGGTTAACCCCATGAATCTCGAGTTGGTGGAACTTTGGAAGATGTAACCTAGTGCAGAGAAATCCAGGCAGAGAGGGGTGTGTTTTTGGTTGGCAGCGGAAGGGTGTGTGGTGGGCCACCTTCCTGGAAGCTATTAAATCCCAGATGTGGGCTCTGTTAGGTGTGGTGCTGCCTTGAGGAAGAGGGTGGAGGTGGGGGGTGAACAGACTCTCTGACCTCTCAAGGTTGCTGGTAATTCTAAGGGTTGGTGATTTTCAACTTCATTTACCCGCGTCTGGCTTCCTTCGCAGCACCCTAGGCACTGCGTGACTCGGCTTTAACTAGGGGTTTTCAGCAGCGTGTCTTTGTGCCTATCAGCCAGGGCCCAATTTTCCCATCACAGGCCTCCCTATAAAAAGCAACCTCAGGCTCAGCAATGGTGGCTGCTGACGATGAGCTGCAGCCACATTCAGTGCAAAGAGATTTTCAGAGAGCTCTTCAAAGCTCCTGTTCTTAGAAGCTTAAGAAAGGGGTTATTTTGTGCTCACTGTGCATAGGCTTTCCGAAGAAAACAAATATGCGAGGCCTTACGTGGTGGACGGAGTATGCCATATACAGATCTGATGGGCAAAAGCTGCCACATGAAACTTACTCAAGAAGTTCATAAGAGTAAGTTCATGTTGGATCAACACACATGTTCAAAAGCCCCTACTATGTGCCAGGCTCTGAGTTAGACCTGGTTAGCAACAAGAAAAAGAAAGCAAGGTCCCTGCTCTGGAGGAATCCAGTCTAACGGGGAAGATAGATATCCGGTGTAAGAAGTGCCGTGTTTGAGGTAAGCCAGGGTATGTGGGAGCATGGGGGGCCTGCCTTGCTGCTGATGGGGATCAGAGAAAGCATTCCCGCGGAGATGACATCTGAGCTGAGTAGGAGTAAGCCAAACCAAAGAAAGGTGGGAAGGGAGGTCTGTGTAGAAAGAACGACAAGAGCAAAGGCATGGGGGCACAAAACGAGTTGATATGTGTGGGGAACTATGAGCAGGCTGCGATTATTTGAGAGGAAAGTGTCAGGCAGGGGGTAGCAAGAGAGGAGGCTGAGGGGCAGGCAGGGCCCCTGTGAGGGAGAGAGGGAGGGCCCTGATTCCGGACTAAGGACTATAGACTTTATCCGGAGGGGAGCCACTGAAGGATTCTAAACAGGGGAGTGATAGGGTCAGATTTGCATCTTGATTAAACTATCTGTTAGTTTGGGGGAAATCACTCAAATTGTCTGTGGGATGAATTGATTAAAGAATTCAGTTGAAAGGGTAGATTTGCAGCTCTAGCCATAGTTAAGTGAAGGGCTGTCTTTTCCCTGGAGGATTTGTCATTCGTGTGACGCTCTTTTACGGATGCCCCTAAAACATTCTATAGATAGATGGCTGTATCTATCTGGAAAACTCAGCAGCATTTAGGAGGTCTTCTAACTGTGCTTAAAGGAACCGGTAGTGACCGAGAGTCTTGCTTGCTTCTACCCTTTATTCCGCACTGCAGTAACAATATCAGGAACAAAAACTGTGCTATGATCTCTTTGTTTTGTTTAGCAAAAGTCATCCGGAAAGGCGCTGTTTAACCTGAGTTGTAGCCATTTAAATCTTGCCGAAAAGGAATATTTTGGATTAGAATTCTGCAGCCATTCTGGAAATAATGTAAGTTGGTTTCATGACAGGGTTCTTTGTGTCTCGAAATTACTTCTAAATGGGGTCTGTGGCCAGGTATGTAGGGCTGAAATACCTGATTGAAAAAGGAAAAATCATTTACACCCTTGCAAATGATCAAAGTGAATAAATATCTCCCCCTCCTGTTTATTAAAAGTCACACCAGTTTGCCAAACTCTTCTGCCCCATGCTCCTGTTTTGTCACTCTGTGAACCGCATCCTATGCTCTATCTAGTTTGACTTTCCAGAGGCTGAACCTCAACCCCAGAATTAAGACTATTAACCTCACCAAAGAATATTCAGGGGAATCTCGTTTTCCCTCTCTCAGTTCCAGATTCCTCCCAAAGGTTCCTGCCTTGCCATATCTGTAATCTGGGTGCCTTTCTGGAAAGGCTTTTAAGCTGGTGTTTGGGAGCTGTAGGATTCAAATGTGGGGCTAAATGCCTTCATTAGTCTTTGTAGTGACTAATGAGCCTTGTATGTGACACCTCTGTCATCCTACTGAGGCAGGGGAGCAGTGATTCAAATGTCAACAACAAAGTGTTTATAAATCAACAATGTTCACTGTCATCGGGAAAATACAAGGGGCAGACTGAGTGTGGTGAAAGTACGTCATCTCTTTGACGGTGCTGTTTCTAACTAGCCTTAGAAGCCTAAAGGGTTCTGTTATTTGTTTATTTCGTGTTGACCTTTTTCTGTTACTAAAAACAAAAAGAAAACGTTACACTCAATACTATGTTCTACCAATTTTTTCATTAATGTTATTACAGGTTTGGTTGGAACTTCTGAAGCCCATAACAAAGCAAGTAAAAAGTAAGTATGGAAAATCATTTAAGGAATATAGTTCCCAGTTACAACTTGAAAATATTTCAGCTCTACCACACGATTCCTCTCTGTAATATAACCAGAGAGAAGGGCTTTGAAGTATTATTTCAAGCCTTCATAAATCCAGGAAATTTAGTAATTTAAAAAATCATTTTAATTTTGCCTGAGACGAAGGAAATCGTGCCGCTGGGTCTTTGTGTAAATCTGAAGAACCCTGGTGATTATAGCACTCTGTGGATCAGTTCTAGGAATATATCTCATGCTTTGCACTGCAAATCTTCACACATCCTTGGTGTCAATCCACAATGCCATTCACCTTCTGCTAGAAGATGTTTCCTTTTATCCTGTCACAGGCATTGTCCATTCACTTCAGTTCATATTTGAGCACCTACTATGTAGGAAATATTTTTCCCCAGCATATTGCAACCTAATGTGGTGGTTCTCAAATATCCTGTGCATTAGTATCACCTGGATTTATTGTTAGAATGCAAATTCTTGGGCCTCAAAAGCAAACTGGTTGCCAAGTCGATTCTGATGCAGAGTAGAACTGCACTCCATAGGGTTTTCATGGCTGTGATCTTTCCAAAGTAGATCACCAGGCCTTTTTTTTTGAGGTGCCTCTGGGTGGACTTCAACCTCCAACCTTTCGATTAGCAGCCAAACATGTGAACCGTTTGCACCACCCGGGGACCTTAGGCGGGAACAAGTAACCCACATTTTTAATAAATTCTACATGTGTTTCTGATGCAGGTGGATTGCAATCCACACTTTGGAAACTCTGTTTTAGTGTCTCTTTTGCTGCTTTCTTCTCCTCCACCTGCTCTTTACATGTTGGTGCTTCCCTGGGTTCTGTATGTTCCCACCGCACGCCCATGATCTGTCATATCATTATCCCAACAGATTCCTAACTGACCCTCCCTCAACAATCCATCATCTATACTACTTCCAGACGGATCTATTGAATATACAAACCTGACCACACCACTCTCCTGCTTAAAACCCTTCCATGGCTCCCTATCGCCCTTAGAATAAAATCCAAATTTATGAGCATGGTACATGAAGCCCTGGACTCTGACTACCTTTCTAGTTGTACCTCTGCCACTGACCACTTTGTCTCCCTACCTCTCCTGACTTTGACAAAACTAATTTCAAGTGTAATATTGTAGGAGAAAATACAGGATGCTCAACTAAATTGAGTTTCAGATAAACAAAGAGTCCTTTTTTTAGTACAAGTACGTCCCATGCAATTGTTGTTTATCAGAAATTCTAATTTAACTGCTGTTCTTGTGTGCCTTCAAGTCAATCTCAACTCATAGCGAGTCTGTAGGACAGACTAGAACTGCCCCGTAAGGTTTCCTGGGCTGAAATCTTTATGGGAACAGAGGGTCAGGTCTTTTCTCCCACAGAGGGGCTGTTGGTGGGCTCTAACCGCTGACGTTTCAGTTGGCAGCTGAGCACTTAATCATTGTGCCACCAGGACTCTCTAATTTAACTAGGGGTCCTGTGCTAATTCTGGCAACCCCTCATCTAGGAAGGCTTCGTTAAGCTCCTCCAAACTTTTCTCCCTCTGTGTTTTCACAGTACTCAGTGCTTACAGCCAACTGTCTTTAGCGTTTATCTTGTGGTTGTGTAATTGTCTGTGTAGCTGTCTGTCTCTTCTACCAGTCTATGAACTCTTATTTGTCTTTTTACTCCCCATGCCTGCTCAGTACTCTGCTTAGCACGTAACAGGCTCTCGACAAATATTTATTGAACAAATGGTGTTAATTATGCATGTATGTGTTTGCTTTTGATGCAAAGAGTTTATTTTCAAATGCAAGTAGGTGTGAAGGTAAGCAGATGCATTTTCTTAATATACTAGATTTTATGAAATGTGGAGGCATCAGTTCATCCTGTTTCTAGTTCCCTTTATGAGATCCTTAAAACCAAACCCAACCCCGTTGCTGTTGAGTCAATTCCGACTCATAACAACCCTACAGATCCTTAGGACCCTATGAGACCCTTAGGACAGGTGATATTCACCTGCCCCAGCTGGAGCTGGGCCCTTCTCTCAGCCAGTGGTGCAAAATCTCATGTGGCAAGTGGTACATTTTTCTGAATGGGACACTTCTTAGGAGAGGACATAGTAGGCCCCCAACGGGGCACGTCTTTACAATAGCAAACTCAAAAGGAGAGAGGGAGGAAGGAGGGAAGAGAGAACTTGGTGAATTATTATCCAGATAGAGACACAATCCAGAAACAGTAATACCTTTTACATGTGAAAATTTGAAATTTAAAAGAAAAGTCCGTGGGAAGGAGTCATGGGGAGGAGGAGAGGGGAATGTGTGTGTGTGTGTGTGTGCGTGTGTGTGTGTGTGTGTAAAGACCTGTAACTGTTGTGATGGACATTTAAATAAAACTTACGGAGATAATTGTGTTTTAAGATCCTAAGGAGGTTGTTTTCAAATTTATGGTGAAATTTTTCCCAGTGGACCCTGGACACCTGCGGGAAGAGCTGACAAGGTAGCGTACTTACCTGTGTGTCTGCTGCATGATGGTACTTAAGAGTCACTGGTCTCCGTTCAGCAGGGAAGGGCTTATAAGTCTCTTTGGAAGTTTTGGCTTGAAGTCACTCTCCGAGAGATGATGAGGAGCTGGAGAGACGGAGGGCCTGGCTGGTCTCTCATGTGCTAATCTTCCAAAGGGTGGGGACGGCAGGGAGGAGGAGGGGTAGTGTCTGGAAGTGGTAGTCAGCCTGGGTGCCCGCTTGGGGTTTATGCCATTGACTGCTGCAACAATAAGCATGCTTGCCTTCACTGCATTTGTGCATCAATCAGAGGCAGCTTGACAACACAGGTATGATGTTAGCTGATTTCCACAGATATTGAAAACAGTGGGTGTAATATGGATGTAACCCAGCAATAGCCCCAGAAGAAACCTGCTGTATATGATGACAAATAGTTATGAATAAGGCCCTTTAAAATTACAATGCAAACCTACTTCTGCAAAAATATACTGTCAACCTAACACTCCCTAAAACCTTCCTCTGCTTTCTAGGCTTATACTCTTACACTTAGAAGGGATCTAAGAGATAATCTAGTCCAGCTTTCTTGGTTTACAGGTGAGGAAACAGGCCCTGGGAGATGAAGTGACTTGGCTAAGATCAGAGGAAGTTGGCAGTTACTCTCCCTGAAATCTTGCCCCCAACAGTTCGTCTTCACCCTTTTTGTACAGGGGGATTTCTTTTCTGAGGGGCATTTGCAGAAGCTACTTTTTCACAAAGCTTCCTTGACTTTCTCTCTCTCTCTCCATTTGTGAGTTATAGGCCACTTTCCCAGATAACTTGATACCTTGCTACCTATATCAGTTTGCATTTGCTAACCCATTTCAGTGGAGTTTCAAATTGTGACCAATTTTGATGGAGATAAACTTTCTCGAAAAAAATAAGAATGAGAAAATCAATGTGATGATAAATGATTCATCAGCTGTTCAGAGCAAGGATTTGGTATTTCTAGCAGGCAGCTGCCTTCTTAATAGCAAGGAACATGTCAAACGACAAGAAGTTTCCTTTCTTTCTTGCTAGGAGCAAAAGGAAATTCACTTTCCCTTCAGCAGTTGAGGCTGATAATTCTCATACACATCTATATTTGAAAATGGGCAAAGGTTAGGCTTCCTTTATTTTTTTTCCCCTCTGGTCCATTTAAGAATATTTAACTGTAGTTGACTTTACAAGGATGCCTTGTTTGGGGCTAATTCATGGGTTTCTGAGAGTGGTGTGCAAACATAATTTTTCTAATTGAATCATTTCTAATGCATTAGGGGAGCTCACAATTTGAAGGTTATAATGATAAATGCTTTTGTAAATTGAATAATCACCTACTATTTTACCTGTTTTTTCTAATCTGGATTTCCATCTATCACCTGCAATTAATTTTGATTCACTACACTGCCTTCCAGGCTTAATTGGTAAAAATAAAAAAAAAATCCAGATATAACTTTGTTTAGAGAAATCATATCTTATTTGGACAATGCACAGAGTAGATAGTCAATAAATGTTTTAATGTGTAAAATAAAATATTGGAACCAATTTTAGACCATGGAAGAAAGCAGTCAGCTGGAGTCTTTGTTATACACGTCTTTGCAGAAGTTGTTGACTCTTGTTTGATAAAGGCTTCCAAATGTGGGGCAAATGCTGTCTGTTTGGCAAAACCCTGGATACCAACCTTCATTTTATCGGTCCCTGATGAGCCTTTGGTGAGAAGGGCTTAGTTCTATCCAGGAAAAATAAATTATATACCTACTCTGTGCAAAACACCCTGTTGGGCTCTGGCCATATAGAGAGAGAGGTCCAGGCAAAAAGGAAAAACATAGGCAGAAGCATAGCCTCGATCCTTAATTTCTGAAACACAGGTCTTTGGGAGATGGGCGGCCTGGATTCAGTGGCAAACCTGAGTTCCAGCCACAATTTCACTACCTTTGGGTGATATGATCTAGTCAAAGTCACCTAACCTCTCTCTTTCCATAGCTGTAAAAGGAGGCGCTCATTCCTGTCCTGTTAACCTTGCAAGTTGTGATGTCAATGAGTATTTGAAAGCATTTTGTAACAGTGCAGTACTAGCCTTCTGGGCAGATTTATTCTTGCTGAATCTCCTTTTCTCTCTAGCTGGGTATGTGGCTTTGCTACGTGGCCAACTCCCTCAAGTTGGCGGGTAGATTTGGCCTGGGTGATTCCTAATGGCTGTCAGGCCTGCCAAAGTGCTGGATCAGTCGAGTTGTGGCCTGGGGCTGGTTTGAGGCTGAAGCAAAGTCTATGTATTACTCACCACCCCTAAAAAGGCATCTCACTGACTGGGGCCGCCCTTTCTTTCTTTAACCAGCGTGGATCTGGGAGAAGGGAAATACTTCTTTCTTGTCCCTGTTTCTTTCTCAAGAAGTTTTTCCCAACTGCTTTGCAGGTATCTTTTCACTCTGCAAATAAAGAAGGATTTGGCTCTAGGAAGGCTTCCATGCAGTGACAACTGTACAGCGTTGATGGTGTCTCACATCTTACAATGTAAGTAGTAAATGTCTGCTTTGGGGCTGTCAGCCAGGTAGAGAACCAAGCAAAGGCGCCGAGCACCCCCAGCATGCCCATCCCTGTGTTAGGACTTACAGGGGAGAGAAAGCCTGAATAAGGTATAGAGAAACAGATCGGTCCAGCAGAAAGAAGCTGGCCATTGAAGTCACCAAGATTTGGGTTTGAAACCTGACTCTACCACCTTCCAGCTGCTGTAGCTTTGGGTTAAGTTCTCTCCCCTCTCTGAGCCTCAGTTTCCTTACCTTTCAAACAGTGACAAGAATACCTTCTCACAGAGTGGTTGTGTAGATTAAAAGTCAATGCTGATTTTCTTGTACCTCTGGCCAACCTTCCCCTCCCATTGCTTTGGGTTTGCTGTCCAGGGGCTGGTTTGGACTAATTCGGGCATAGACTTTGCCAGGCAGGCCCCCACACCCTCTGCTAGCCCCGGGATAAATCCTGATGCATGCCCTCTGCAGCACACCGTCACACTGGATGTGATTTCTGTGTTGCTCTTTATCATGGTTGCAGAGAACAAAGCACAGGGTACAGCAGGTGGAGAGAGGCTGAAATGGAAAAAGGCCCCAGGCGTCTATTACAGTTCCCCATGCCCTAGGAGCCAAGTGGTTGTACTAGACTGACTAACAGAGAAGACAGGGAAAAGGAGGCCTGGGGAACAGTGGGGGCCTGCCAGGGAGGGGGTGACACTGGGCTAGGCTGCTTCTGCAGCTCTAAGGGCAGGGCCAAGGCAGCAGGAGATAGTGTCTCTTCTTCTGGGGGCGGCTGGTTCCTCTCTCTCCTAGAGATGCCTCCCAAAGATAGGCTATTCCTTACTAGTCCTGCAGAATTGTAAGTTCAGTTTTGAACTCTACCCCTTACCTTCCCAACAGTCCAGAAATAGTAGATTTCTGATTTCACTAGGAACTCCAAGAATGAAATGCTTAAGGAGGGACAGTGTCTAAATCAGTGTACACTAAGAGCTTCCTGACTGGGACAGGTGATGACAACCCAGGATCTCAGGAAGGTAGTGGGAAGTGAGAACAATAGTAATCAGGGAAGGCTTATGGAGGAGGTGACTTTTGTGCTCGGCCTTGAAGGGACACATAGGAATTTGACAGGTAGTGATAGGCAGAGGAAACAGCATGAAGAAGATGGTGATGGGACAACAAGAAGCTTAAGTGACTCAGTATAGCTCAAGGATAGGGTCTGTTTAGGAGAGATGGTGAAAATGAAGCATCATTTTGAAGAGCCTTGAATGCTAAGGACACTAATCATATGTCAAATATTGTGCTTTGCACTGGAGGGAGGGGGCAAAGGGCAAGGCAGATAGAGATAACAGTGTTGGAAGATTTATCCCTCTCCACAAGCTGTTAACAACCTGTTGAGACAGGCAGTCAGAGGACTCTGGAGTCCCCAGGCAGCCCCTGAGGGAGGAGCCCAATCTCATTCTTAACTGTTCATTCAGCATTAAGGACTTGGGCATTCTTTAGTGGCTATTTGGGGCATAACGCAAAGCACTTTAGCTTTTCTAGAGGATATTTTGTTTGTCAATAGAAGTTTTTTCTGTGGAAATTCAATATATTGCAGTTTGGAGGTAGAGAATGAAGGCAGTGTTGATATAGATAATTTGGTTTGGATGATGGTTCAGGATAATTACCCAAAGTTTCAGTGAGTTAGTTCTTCACAAGTGATTCATACCAGACTCCGTTTCACTGGATTCCAAGGTAATGTGCAGAATATAACCAGATTCCTCATTTGTTTGTTCATTTATTCATTCATCCAATAATATTTGTTGGATGCCTGCTATGGCCTAGGCATTCAAGGACCTCCATATTCTGACCTTCTCATCTGCTTAAGTCTCTCTTACACACCCTTCTGATCTAGCCGGATATCATTACCTGTTGATGTTGAGTTGATTCCGACTCCTAGAGACTCTATAAGACAGAGAACTGCCCCATAGGGTTTCCAAGGTTGTAATCCTTATGGAAGCAGACTGCCATATCTTTCTTCTGCGGAGCAGCTGATGAGTTTGAACTGCTGACCTTTCAGTTACCAGCTGAGTGCTTTAACCACTGTGCAACCAAGTCTCCTTTTAAGATCAATATACAAAGAGTAATTGTATTTGTATATATAGTAATATACCAAACACATTGCCTTCGAGTCAATTCTGACTCATAGCAACCCCGTAGGGCAGAATAGAACTGCCTTATAGGGTTTCCAAGGCTGGAATCTTTACGGAAGCAGACTGCCACATCTCTCTCCCGAGGAGCGAGTGGCTGGTGGGTTCGAACCGCTGATCTTTCAGTTAGCAAACCAAGCGCTTAACCACTGTGCCACCAGGGCTCCTTTCTAGCCAGGTATTCCCTCACAAAACAATTTGCACATTCCAAACGAAGTCTCTCACTTATGAACTCCCTTAGTAATTGTTCGTCATTCATTCAGCAAAAATTTATTGAGTACCTACCATGGGCCAAATACTATTCTAGGCTCTGGTGATACAACAATGAACAAAACAGATGAAAATCCTTGACCTCATGGAGCTCACACTTTTACAGTGGAGGAGAGTCAGACAATAACTAAAATAAGTGAATAAATTATATTGTATATTAGAAGGTGATAACTGCTAGGGAGAAATATAAAGCATGGAAAGAAGATGAGGAATGCTTGGGGTGGGTGCTAAATTTTTAAATAAGATAGTCCAGGTAGGCTTTGCCATGAAGGTGACAATTGAACAAAGACTTGAAGGATGTGAAGAGCAATCCATGCAGATATCTGGTGGAAGAGAATTCCAAGCAGAGAGAACATCCAGTGCAAAGGCCCTAAGGTGGGAGCATGCCTGGGGTGTTTGAGAAACATCAAAAAAGCTTTTGTGGCTGGCTAGAGTTGAGTGGGAGCCTTGGTAGCATAGTGGTTAAGAGTTCAGCTGCTAACCAAAAGGTCGGCAGTTCAAATCCACCAGCTGCTCCTTGGAAATCCTATGGGGCAGTTCTACTCTGTCTTATAGGGTCACTATGAGTTGGAATCGACTCGACGACAACGGGTTGGAGCTGAGCGAGAATGGGAGCAAGTAATCATGGAGGGCCTTGAAAGCCATATTAAAGACCTGGAACATTACTCTAAATGAGATGGGAAGTCACTGGAGAATTTAAGCAGATGAGTGAAATGATCTGAATTAGGTTTTAACAGGATCACTTTGGATACGATGGTGAGAATAGACCTTAGGAGGGAATGGGGGAGGTGGGGAGACCAGACAAGAGGTTATTGCAGGAGAGAGTATGGTAATTTGGACCAGGTGGTAGATAGTAGTGAAGGTGCCCATAAGATTGCTACCTTCTCTTACTGGTGATACTTACCCATGTGTATGTCATGGTTATCTTCCTAGATTGTCATCCTCTTGCATGAAGAGGAAAACAAACACAGTCTTATGTGCTCTTATGTTTTCCTTAGGGTCAACATGGAGCCATAGTGCTTAATAAGTAGACTTAGTGGTGTGTGTGTGTGTGTGTGTGTGTGTGTGTGTGTGTGTGCGCGTGTGTGATTAAAAAGAAAGCAGCTCTATTGAACTATAATTTACATACCATACAATTCATCCATCTTAAGTGTACAACACAATGATTTTTACTGTATTTACAGTTATGCAACCATTACCACAATCAAGTTTTAGAACAATTTCATCACGTCAGAAGAAAGCCATGGTGCTCATTTACAGTCACTTCTCGTTCCCACGCTTAGCCCCAAGAAACCACTAATTTACTTTCTGTTTCTAAAGATTTGCCCGTTCTGGACATTTCATAAAATACGTGGTCTTTCGCAACTGCCTTATTTCACTTAGTGTAATGTTTTTGAAATTTTTGCATGTTCTAGCATGTATCATAGCAGTTCCTTGCTTTCTATTACTGAGCAGTATTCCATTTTATGGATATACAGTAAAACCTGTGAAAGCTGGAACAGTGTAAGGCGGGAACCTATCAAAGAAGGAAAACTCAAATATTTTCCACTAAAAAGGATAGAAAGTGTAAGACTGTACCCTGTCAAAGATGGAAAACTTGTGAGACCTGGAAAAACAAGGCAGTCCCACCAAGTTCTGGCTCTCACAGGTTTCACTGTACCACATTTTGTTTATCCATTCACCTGGTAATGGAATTTGGTTTATTTCCAGTTTTGGCTATTATGAATAATGCTGCGATTAACACTGACATACAAGTCTTCGTGTGGATACATGTTTTCTTTCCTCTTGGGTAGATTCCTAGGAGTATAATTGCTGGGTCATGTGGTAAATTTAACTTTTTAAGAAACTGCCAAACTGTTTTCCAAATTGGTTGCACCATTTTACAACCCCGCCAGAAATGGATGAGAGTTCAATTTCCCCCCTTGTTCACCAAAACTTAGTATTATCTTTTTTTTTTTAATGGCCATTCCAGTGGATGTGAAGAGGTATTTCATTGTGATTATTATTAGCATTTTTCTAATGAGTAATGATGTTGAGCACCTTTTCAGGTGCTCATTAGTCATTCATATATTTTGTTTGGTGATATGCTGATTCAAATCTCCCATTTTTAAATGGGTGGTTGTCTTCTTATTTTTAAATTTTAAGATAGTTTTATGTATTCTGGTTACAATTCCTTTATCAGATATGTAATTTGCAGATATTTTCTCCCAATCTATCTATGGCTTGTATTTCCATTTTCTTAATGGTGTCTCTTGCAGAGCAGAAGTTTTTAATCAGATATGTAATTTGCAGATATTTTCTCCCAATCTATCTATGGCTTGTATTTCCATTTTCTTAATGGTGTCTCTTGCAGAGCAGAAGTTTTTAATTTTGCTGGAGACCAATTTCTCCATTTTTTTTTAATGGATCATGCTTTTGGTATTGTATCTAAGAACAAGATGACAAAGATTTTCTCCTAAGTTTTCTTCTAGAACTTTTATAAGTTTACCTCTTATGTTAGGTCTCTGATCCATTTTGAGTGAATGTTTTGTATGATGTGTGGTGTGAG